AGGAAAGATATACCCATTTGAATGCAGAGTTCCAAAGAATAGCAAGGAGAGATAGGAAAGCCTTCCTCCATGATCAGTGCAAAGAAATAGAGGGGAAAAAATAGAATAGGAAAAATGAGAGAGAGATCTCGAGATCTCTCTTTCTTCGAGAGAGAAGAAAATTGGAGATACCAAGGGACCATTTCATGAAAGATGTGCTCGAAAAAGGACAGCAGTGGCCACAGGACTGGAAAAGGTCAGTTTTTATTCCAATCCCAAAGAAAGGCAATCCCCAAGAATGCTCAAATTACTGCAGAATTGCACTCATCTCACATGATAGCAAAGAAATACTCAAAATTCCCCAAGCCAGGCTTCAACAGTATGTGAAGCCTAAACTTCCAGATGTTCAAGATGGATTTAGAAAAGGCAGAGGAACCAAAGATTAAATTGCTAATACCCGTTGTATCATTGAAAAAGCAAGAGAGTTCCAGAAGTACATCTATTTCTGCTTTATTGACTATGCCAAAGCCTTTGACTGTGTGGATCATCACAAACTGTGGAAAATTCTGAAAGAGATGGGAATACCAGACCACTTTACTTGCCTCCTGAGAAATCTGTATGCAGGTCTGGAAGCAACAGTTAGAACTGGACATGGAACAACAGACTGGTTCCAAATTGGGAAAGGAGTACATCAAGGCTGTATATTGTCACACTGCTTATTTAACTTATATGCAGAGTACATCATGAGAAACGTTGGGCTGGATGAAGCAGAAGCTGGAATAAAAATTTCCAGGAGAAATATCAATAACCTCAGATATGCAGATGACACTACCCTCGTGTCAGAAAGTGAAGAAGAACTAAATAGCCTCTTGATGAAAGTGAAAGAGGACCATGAAAAAGTTGGCTTAAAACTCAATATTCAGAATACTAAGATCATAGCATCTGGTCCCATCACTTCATGGCAAATTGAGGGGGAAACAATGGAAACAATGAGAGAATTTATTTTGGGGGGCTCCAAAATCACTGCAGATGGTGACTGCAGCCATGAAATTAAAAGACACTTTCTCCTTGGAAGAAAAACTATGACCAACCTAGACAGCATATTAAAAAGCAGAGACATTGCTTTGTCAACAAAGGTCCATCTAGTGAAAGCTGTGGTTTTGCCAGTGTTCATGTATGGATGTGAGAGTTAGACTATAAATAAAGTTGAACTGTGATGTTGGAGAAGACCCTTGAGAGTCCCTTGGACTGCAAGGAGATCCATCCAATCAATCGTAAAGGAAATCAATCTTGATTTCTCATTGGAAGGACTGATGCTGAAGCTGAAACTCCAGTACTTTGGCCAACTGATGTGAAGAACTGACTCATTGGAAAGGACCCTGATGTTGGGAAAAATTTAAGGCAGGAGGAGAAGGGGACGACAGAGGATGAGATGGTTGAACGGCATCACCTACTCAGTGGACATGAGTTTGAGTAAGCTCCGGAAGTTGGTAATGGACAGGGAGGCCTGGCGTGCTGCAGTCCAGTTCAGTTCAGTTGCTCAGTTGTGTCTGAGTCTTTTCGACCTGTGAACGGCAGCCCGCCAGGACCCCCTGTCCATCACCAACTCCCGGAGTCCACCCAAACCCATGTCCATGGGATCACAAAAAGTCGGACATGACTGAGGCTTTGAAATGAACTGAAGGCAATGGAAATGGAGTATAACCAGTAAAGTTTAGGTTAGAAACAATTTCTCCATTTTATTTTAATATTCGTTTGTGACAGCAGTGGTAGAAAATCTATTTTTTCAATAATTGTTTTCATTGTTTTTCTGGTGTGCAATTGTGGAACATTCTCTCATTTGCTATTCCTGCCCTTCCAAGTTAAGTTAATGCAATATTTCTTAAAAGAAGATGTCTTTGACAACTTAAAAAAGAGATTAGTATGATTCATAGAATTAACCTATTCTGTAGGCTATTTGTGATGCTTATTTTGAAATAATTATTTGTAAATCAAAAGTTGTATTGACAATTGTAGCTGAAAGTATCAACTATGTAGAAATATTATTCATGTTTTACAGTATATTTTGGCAGTTTGTATTGGTTTTAAAATCTTTCTAAAGAATGGGCTATACACTTGTGAGATTGAGAAAATAGACTCAAAGAAAGCAGCATAGATTTTTTTTGTACTTTTATGTATTTGGATTATTTTTAATCAAGCAAATAACACATGAATACATGGGCATTGTATCAATATAGTGGTTAAAATCATATAGAAGTATGGGGAGTAAAAGGTAAAATTACCACTTCACCTTCTCCTTGTCAACCCTCTCCCACAGGAAATGATTATTAACAGTTTGATTTGTATTCTTTTCCACAATTGTGATGATATATATTGCCAATTAAAGGGTAGAAAAATCTATAGCAGGAAAATTGAGCAATGGGCTTTGAAGTCAGGCTGCCTGGGTTCTAACTCAGATTTTACCACTTAAAACTGTGTGATATTGGACATCTTATCTAACTTTTCTGTCCTTCAGTCTCTTCTTAAGTACAGTGACAGTTAACATATCTGCTTAACAGAGACGTTTTGAGAATTAAATTAGTATTGTGACTAATTTAGAAAAGTTGTTTGGCATATATATATGTTCTGGCATATATATATATATATATATATATTTATATGTTTGGAAAACCTATAAAAATATGTTTGGCATATACTATGTGTGTGCACTGTATATATAGTTCTGCAACTTGCACCCCATCAATAAACATAAAGGCAATACAGTTTAGTGATTTAAGAGTATGGATTCTGAATCCAATTGAGTGGTGCAAATCCTAGTTCCACCATTTACTAGCTTTGTCTTTGTTTCCTCTCTAAAAAAGAGACAATAGTTTCTGTTTTAAATTAAGCCTTCCCAGTGCACCAGACCCGAGCACTTGTCTCATGCATCCAGCCTGGGCTGGTGATCTGTTTCACCCTAGATAATATACATGTTTTGACCCAGAGGAATCGGGTGGAGAGGGAGGTAGGAGGGGGGATCAGGATGGGGAATACATGTAAATCCATGGCTGATTCATGTCAATGTATGACAAAAAACCACTAGAATATTGTAAAGTAATTAGCCTACAACTAATAAAAATAAATGAAAAAAAAAGAAATAGAAAAAAATATTAATTAAGCCTTGTGTGATTTAGAATGACATTTAGTCACATGTGAGTTAGAAAGGCATTTAGAATGACTGTTATATAGTAATTACTTATTTTTATTATCATTCCATCATTAAAAGTCCTCAGTTTAGTATTTCATATAATAGAGGTATAATAAGTGAATCATTGTCTTTTATTGTTTTAATTATACACTATTGCAAAATATGCTGGTTACCATACTGCTTTTTTGCTACTTAAAACATTAAAATATCCTTGTCTATATCTTCACTTTAAAGAAGAGAGCTATTGCTGTTAACATTTCCCACTGTCATTTGCATCTTGTATTCAATACTTTCAAGATCCTCTTTTAGTATGTGATCATTACCGTACCATATATGTGATCAACCCACATTATTTTCCTATTAGTTGGTTCAGTCCTAGGGTATGAATGGAAAGGAGAACCATTTCATTTTGTGTGGTTACAGTTATAATTCTGAGGTATATATAGCTAGAGTTGAGAAAGAACAAGCCAAAAGGGACTATTCCTGTATTTGGACTGTTGCAATCTCAGAAGACTGAGTCTTTTTTTAGGTATCCTGACATTCAGAAAAGGTAAGTCTAAATTCTTATGTATTTTAGTTTGTGTTGTTTTATTTTCTACAATAAAAAGGCTTTAAATATGAATAAGTAGGTTTCCTGGAGACATTTATAGTAGACACTACAGATCTATTAAAGGAAAATTGTTTCTTGAATCAAATCCGCTTTTCCCTTTTGAACTCTTGTAGCATTTTTAGGGGAAGTTGAAAGTCTTAAAATTGTACTAAAGAATCATACAAAAGACTGGTATAAGTGCTCTGGAAAATAAGATTTAAGTCCAAAAGAAAAGAACAAAAGGGAGGAAGGGAATTAGGGAAAGAAAATTAAAACAAAAAAGAATGGTAGTGAGTTTGACAAACCTATTTGTATTTAGATTACTGAAAAAGTAAATGGATATATTTATAGCTTAAATCAGACAGTTTGCAGAAATCCAAACTGTATATAAATATCTGTCTCTCAAATACATTCTAAGGTATAGTAATTGTTTTCAATGTGACTCAAGTAATATTAATTAAAGCACTGTTAAGACAAATTCCTTAAAATCAGTCTTGGTTTTAAGCAGGCTATTTGAAAATAAAGGGTTAGGCACTTTAACTAATAAATTTAAAATAAATTATTCATGACAGTTGAGTATATATTAAAATAAGTATATATTTGTAGAAATGTGTACTTTTAAAACATTTGCATGTATGCCATATAACATCCTGATAACAATCCAATGAAAAACTCTAGGGAGCATTATTATCACCATTTAACAGGAAAATCAATACCCAGGAATGGTAAATAAATTGCCTGATAGTAAATAAGTAATGACAGAATTGGAAACCAAGTCTCCTTACTCCTGGTCCTATTCTCTATCCTTTGAGCAATAGTGTCTCCCTTAATTATTTGTGTTTTCATGTAGCAGTTAAGTCTCCATTAAATGTTTTTTTTTCTTTCCATTTATTTTTATTAGTTGAAGGCTAATTACTTTACAATATTGTAGTGGTTTTTGCCATACATTGACATGAATCAGCCATGGATTTACATGTGTTCCCCATCCCGATCCCCCCTCCCACCTCCCTCCCCATCCCATCCCTCTGGGTCTTCCCAGTGCACCAGCCTTGAGCACTTGTCTCATGCATCCAACCTGGGCTGGTGATCTGTTTCACCCTTGATAGTATACTTGTTTCAATGCTATTCTCTCAGAACATCCCACCCTTGCTTTCTCCCACAGAGTCCAAAAGTCTGTTCTGTACATCTTGTTGCCTTAATGAGTTTTTTTTTTTTTAAATTTTCAGGACATATTGCATTCTTCTGATTAGAAACCTTGTCTAATAAAATGCTTGGAGAATCCTTCCTAATTGAACTCCTATACAAAGAACAAGTTACATGTAAGAAAACCTCAAATGATGAAAAGGAAACTTGGAAAAAGCAACTTTTAGATATAGAGAATAATTCACTTTCCCCTGATAAAATGGAAAATGAAAATAAGGTCATGAAAGAAAGTATAACAGAGAAAAGTAATGATACAAGTAAAATAAAATCTGTGGATGAGATAACTGTAGCAAAATGCAAGACTGCCTCCTTTCTAGGGAATATGTCTGCTGCACTGCCCATTCCAAAAAGAGAACAACATGATGAAAAGCAACTAGATTTATACCGATCTTATTCATGTACAAGTATTTGCCAGAATTATCCTGATCTACAGATTGGAGGAGACCATGTAGGTAACATGTATGATTCCGGCTGCTTTGTGGAACACATGCGTGATGATGCTCTTAGTGGTCCTCTTTTGCTTTCAGTAGATATACCGTTAGGTCATTCTCCCATCATTGAACCTCTAGATAAACTACCTACCTCAAAGCTTTTGAATGGCGATGAAATTCGAGAAAGAAGTATGTTGTCTCATAAACAGCCCCTCTCTAATTCTATGCTTAATGGTTATATGGAAAAAAAAGTGGATGAACTCTACAAACAGTTTTTGGAAGAAAATCTCACTCAGTGCTGCTCCATAACCAACCTTATGGCTTCCAATTTGTTAATGAATGATATAAATCAGATTAGCCTCCAAATCTCTCAAGAGCAGAACATAGAGGCATTGAAATTTCAGGAAGTTGTTCTACATTCTTTAGCAAGATGTAATCTCTGTAACATTTCCCATGGAAATAGTTTTGAATTCAGCACTCCTAATTTACAAATATCAAACCAGAGAAGTAGAGAACTTGTACCACATCTACAATAAGAATCAACTGCAGTTTGGTTGAACTGATTTATGAGACTGTAGTAACAGTAGTCTCCTCTAGTTTATTGTGTCACATCAGCCCCTTTGTGGTGTGATTACTATAGTTTTTGAGAACTTATTTTATCAATGGTACATCTGAATTCTTATAGGAGACAATATAAATAATTAACTTTTATGACTATACTTTTAATTGTTTTGACATCTTTAATGGTTGCTACATTCAAGTTTGTAAATTCCATATGTGTGATCTATCTAATTGCCACCAGCATCTGAAAGTGATTACTTTACTCTCACTCATCTGTTTACCACAAAAGTGGTTTTAAAAAAGTGAGATGAAGAGAGAATTTTTCTCAGCTACGAAAAGACAACTAGAAACTGTATCAGATAGAGGCATTTCTTTCTCCACAAAAATGCTTAAAGACATGAGTAGTGCCTAAATATTTTTCTTTTTATTTTCAACATACAAAATTTTTCACACTGACAATCAGAAATTATTCAAATAAAAATTGGATTTAAATGATATTTGAAAGAAATGTGGAATGAGAGCTTAAGGAAAAATGGAGAATTTGCCATTAAGATTTGCAGTTGAACTTCATGCTTTTGAACTTTCTTGGGACAAGCATCTGCTTTTATATATCACTCTGTTAAGCATGGTGGTTTTCAGCTATGGGAGGAAGGAAAGCATATACATAGAGTGAACAAAGTGAATAGAGAACCACCATTTAGAAATAGAGAGGCTCTCTTGACAACTTTTTACACTTCTTATATTATCCTCAATCAAGATACTGGCTTAGGATAAAAGTAGGATGTTATAGCAATTTTGGAGTTTAATTAAATTAATTAGTAAAAGATATTTAAATGAATGGTATAGTTTATTGCAGACATGGAAACAAGACACAATAGCTCACACTTCTCTCTTATGTACAGTAAAATGATTAGCATGTACTTTTGCTTGTAAAATGAAGTGATATAATTTATGTTATCTAATTGTTATGGTTGATAAAATATGTACCTTAGTACTCACATGTTCTTTTCTAATAATTTATTTGGTCTTCGTTTAAACTCTAAAGAATGTGTTAGTCCGATGCCCTTAGGATTTGTTCTTTGTGATCCCACAATCATTAGTTTATTTTCATCATTTCCAAATTTCTATGATCTAGTAATAAGTACTCCTGATTTATTTCCTGTTTTTATTTACATAAAATAAAAATGTTCTTCTTTAAAATAAGATGTTCATAAAATAAGATGTTTTTCTTTCTCCAACATGTTGTCCAATAACCCTCTCAATCCATTTCCATCATTCTGACATTTGATTCTGAAGAGGCAATGATAAAGGTTTTTGAACAACTGGCTTAGTGTTTTGTAGATACAGAAACTCAAGTAGGGGCTCTGTATCAACCTAGAGGGATGGAATGGGGAGGGAGATGTGAGGGAGCTTCAACAGGGGATATAAGTATACCTATGGCCAATTCATGTTGAGGTTTGACAGAAAACAGCAAAATTCTGTAAAGCCATTGTCCTTCAATAAAAAATATATTAATTAAAAAAAACAGTTTTGTGTACATTGTTTTGTATATTATTAAATTTGTACATTTTAATATGAGTTACCAAATGATAAAATATTAATGTAAACTTTGTCTTTTCCAAAGCGAATTAAATGTTGTTGGGCAATATTATTGGTGTGAAATTTTCTTAGTTATTGTAATACATATTAATAATTTATTTATGAAGCATGTATATTCATAAATATTATTAACACTGCATAGCATTATATAAAAAACAATATCTAGCTAATATCAAATTTCAAAGTATATTTTACTCTCAGATTTAAAATTTTTCTCTCTTGTTTATGACACAAAAATTCTTAATTTCTAAACATACTCACTTTTAAATGGCCTAAGAATTCAATGTGATATATAAGCAAGGAAAGATTATAAATTTAGTGTTCTTTTCTTTTCTTTTTAGTCTTATTTGCTTTTATTAGCTTACAAATAGCAAAATGAATTCAACAGAACAGAAAAAATAAAATTAGCTCACAGACAAGAAGAAACCAAATAATAATGATAAAAGAAACTACCAAATAGAAAATATTAGGCACAATGACTGAAATAAAAGATATCATCCTTTATACTAGAATATGGATATGGTGTTTTAGGAGGGGAATTTGAACATAATAATATCAATGTATACCTATCTAACATGCCATTTCTTTTTTCTGGTAACTTTAATTTTATTTTTTTGACATTTCTAACTTTACTTTGTATTGGGGTATAGCTGAAAAACAGACAACATTGTGATATTTCCAGGTGAACAACGAAGGGACTCAGCTATACATACACATATATCTATTCCTCCCCAAACTCCCCTCCCATCCAGGCTGCCACTTAACACTGGGAGACATTTCCTGTGCTGTATAGTAGGTCCCTGTTGGCTATCCATTTTAAATAAAGGCATGTAAGACACTATTTCTGTACAGAGAAATCTCACTAGCTACTGAACACCTGAAATGCTAGAGAAAATTTAAACTGTGTTTTTTATATATGTATATGGCTGAGTTCATGGCAAATTAATGAAAACTACTGAAGGCAGACTGGGAAAAGCTGAAATTCCATAAGACAGTTTGGCTACAGAACTGATAACTGTCCCAGGTCCCACCCCTGATACCTAGAAGGACCCGAGTTTTAAGGACTATACCTGCGTGGGGCAGGGACCATGGCCTGGGACTGTGTTGGTCTGCTCGGGCCACCATAACACAACTCCACAGATGGGCAGCTTACACACAAGAAAATTATTTTCACATGGTTCTGGAGGCAAGAGGTCCAAGATCAAGGCGCCAGAAAATTCCATCCCGTTGAGACCTCTTTTCCTAGTTTGCAGACAGCCACATTTTCTGCTGTGACCATATGACCTTTTCTGTGTACACATGGAGAGAGGGTCTCTTTTTCCTGTGAGAACACAGGTTCTGTCAGATCAGGGCCCCACCCTTCTGACTCCATTCAAACTTAATTACCTCCTTACAAGCTCCATCTCCAAACACAGATGCACTGGGGGCTGGGGCTTCAAGATATGAGTTTTGGGACACAATTCATTTCACAAAAGGGACTGAGCTGGACTGCAGTACCACTGATGACTCCCCAAAAGGCACCTCTCAGTGAGTGAACTAGAAAAACCCCTTAAATTCCTCATCTGTGTTCCAAGTAGAGATATGAAAGATGAAAAAAATCTCTAGGAATGTCTTACCACAGCCTGATACTGTTGTATATTTAAGGAGGAAATTCACAAGGCTTGCGAGTGTTAGTGAGCACACATACACGCTGAAGGACAGGGAAGGAGAAGCAGGAAACCTAAGGGGAACTCTGGCTCTGAAGTGGTCCAGGGTTAGCAGGGCCACAAGAAACAAAATGGAGGTGCTAGGAAAAAAAAAATAGGAAACTTCACTGTTGGAACGTATCAAAAATTCCCCAAAATGGAGGTCAGAGGAATGTCAATTCACAATGAAAATTCACAGATCACATGAGAAAATAAGTCATAGACTTGCTTCAGACAAAACAAACTATAGATTTAGATGCACACACAAAAAAGATAAAAATATTGAAACTATCACACACAGAATGTAAAATAAGAACATTTAATATGTTAAAAGAAAAGAAAAAGAGAGAATAGAGGAACTACCCCAAATGACCAAGAAAATTTGAGAAAGAACAAAACAACATTTCTGGAAATGAAAAAATATAATCACAATTAAAAATGATAGATAGGTTAAATACATTAGAGACAGTGAGAAGACACAATTAGTGAACTGGATAATGGATGTAAAGAAATGATCTAGTGTTCAACACAGAAACAATGAGAAAAATATGAAACAAAGATTATGAGATATAAAGAACAGAGTGAGATGGTAAAACTTAAGTCTAAGTTGATGTCCTCAAGGAGAGAATTGAGAAAATGCAAAGGTATATTTCTCAAAGAGGTAAAAGTTCAAATTTTTCATAATTCACAAAAGGCACTGATTCTCAGATTCAAGAAGCTCAGTGAATCATAGTAGATTAATAAAAAGAAATCCACAGTAGATAGGTTGTAGTATAATGACATTTGATTGCAGAATGTCAGAGATAAGTAACTTAAACATAACCTGAAAGAGAAGACTGATTACCTACAAAGGAATACTGATCAACTGACAAGTGTCATTTCAGAAGCAACAATGGAAGCAAGACAACAGTGGAACAGTATTATTAAAAAATGAGAGAAAATAACTGTCAATCTAGATTTGTATGCCCAGATAACTTTCAAGGATAATAAAACAGTAAACTTATAGGTAAATTTAAACAAATACTGACTGTATACAATAACCATTTTGAAATTAAACTGAGATAAAACTAAAATTCTAGACACTTATAAATTAAGGGAAGGCAATCAAATTTTGTTCAAAATCCTGATGTTCAGCATGAGTGAAAACATAAAACTTTAGATTCTGTTAACGATGCAAACTAAAGTTCATGGTAAGCACTAAAAAGACAAAATTTGAGTTTTACCTTTTAAACTAGCAGAGAAAAAGTAAATGGAAAAACAAAAACTCAATGCAGAAGATGGAGGGAAAAAATCACCCAAGGGCAGAGAGATAAAATGGTAGAACCAAAAGCACAATAAGATGGTATAAATAAACCCTAATATGTTAGCAGTTTCCACTAAAGTAAATCAATTAATGTCTCCAGCTAAAAGATAGATAGAAAAAAAAAATCTAGTTAGTTTTTAGTGGGTACATGAAAACACAGCATAAATATCTGACAGAAGAATAGAGAACATATACCATACAAACACTAACCAGCTGGTGTGGCCTATATAAATATTTCTTTCAGAAACATAAGATTTTAAGGCAACATAAAATAATACAAAAACATTATTAGAAATAGAAGCTGTGACAACAAATATAAGATTGAATTCTAAACATGGAAGATAAACAATTCTAAACTTGTAATATACTGAATAACAAAGTTTCAGGATATATAAGACAAAAATTAACACAATTACAGAAATTAGAAAATCCACTAGAACAGAATATTTTAACACCTCTTAGAATCTGAAAGATCAAGTAGAAGAAAAAGAACATTAAAATAGAGACAATTTGGCCAACACAATTAACAGTTTGGTCTAATGAACAGCCAACAACTGGAAATAGGCATACTTTCAAGCACTAACACAACATTTACAAAAACTTATCATACTTTAAGTCAGATGGCAAATCTCAACAAATTGCAACATGGACCACAGTACAATGAAAGCAGGAATAAATAAGAATAGAACTTAAAAGTCTACATGTTAGGAAATTTAAAAAAAATCCACATATGCAAGTAAAAAATAAAAGAAATCATGATGGAAAATAAAAAGTAGTTAGAATTTAAAAACAAACATTTCTATAGCACTTTAAATTGACAAAACATTATTTCATTTGCTCATTAGAAAGTAATCCTGTGAGACACCCAGAAGCCATGCTCTCTCTGCTGGACAATGTAACAGCAGAAATGTGGTTTATTATGTAACTACTAAAGCAAATTTTTATATGTAAATAAAATACATATCAAAAGTGATTTAGAAACTGAGAAATATGAGTGAAAGTGTTCACTACTAAAAATATTAAAAGAAAAGAGAACCAACCATCTCCTTTAGAAGGTATATTGAATAACTAAGAAAGTTGCAAAGAAGAGATTTGGCATCAATATTTAAAGCTTAAAAATTCATAAAATCATTTTGGTTTAAGAAGGCCCTTAGGTCCTCATATAATATATAAAAACTCATATGGTAAAGTATTTATTATTCACATGCGATGAATGAACACTGTCAAAAATCTATGCACAAGTGGAGGAATTGTTACTGCTCACACACACGGTCCTGGTTTCATGGTTCCAGCATCTGTTCAGTGGTGCACTGGCAATTAATAGCTCTTCTGAAACTTTCTACAGTACAAAGGGAATTTTCATTTAGGGTTCCCCTCCCTTTTCATGTGCAGGATATTTTTGGAGGTATGCTTTCTTTTTCCATCCACTGAAAGAGAATTAAGAAAATTCCAACATGCCTGTGTGTCAGCAAGTACTCTTTTTGGTCTAGGTACCAGGGGATGATGGATGAGCTTGTCAAGCCTACAGTAGCGGGCAGAGCGAGTTGGCAGAAGTTCTGTGTTATTGAAAGATATCTCAAATACTTATTTCATCTCCTCTATTAACTTTAATCACATTTTAAATATGCAGCCAAGAATGAAGCTTTGACAGTAACCCATAAATTTACACAGGCAGGCATTGTCACTTTTCTGCAGGAGCAACACTGAGATAACACAAACGAGCTGGGTATTTTCTTTCTTGTGCCTTTCTTCACTGAAGAGCAATGAAAAAATACCTGAAAAGTCTATCCATATCTCACATTCATTTGCCACAAATCTCT